CTTCACTGTACCTGCTATTGTTTATTGCTTTTATTTGTTTAACTCTTTTAATTCTTAAGAGGCTAACATTTAAGCAGGTTTTGCCGAAATCAAAACTAAGAAGATTAAAGCAAAGCAGTTTAAAGGTTCAGATCCTCCAAGGAACCGTGTCGGCGTGTCTGTTTGTCCCCTAATGGGATTAGTTGTTTTGTTTTAATTGTGTTAAGGAGTTGGTTTATAAAATTTTGATATTTAAGCTTCAAAATATTAGACTTAGCTTTGATTAGCTTGGATTGCCTCCTCCAAGAGAAAAGGACATCTTTCAAGCTTAAACTAAATATTTTACTTTATTAACAATTTAAAGTCTTATACAATTATAATCCCTTTATTAAATACTCAAAACTCGCACTAAAATAATTTCAATTAAAAATTTATATCCTCTGTCCATAGGTGGGCTGGCTCAAGGCCGACACGAAGGCCATTCAAGCGATACACGAGAACGTGATCACCCACAACCCGCGCGTCACAGTGAGCCACTTGGACCAGAACACCTGGAACCTGCACATCAAGGCCGTCTCCGAGGAGGATCGTGGCGGCTACATGTGCCAGTTGAACACGGATCCCATGAAGAGCCAGGTGAGTTATTTCACTTTACGTGTTATTTGGAATACATATTACGTATACGCCATGCTGGCCGCAAAGATGCCTTTTGATTTTATATTTTGGGCGAAAGCTTGCAACTAGAACGTCCGACGTTGTTGTCAGAATGATTTTCTTTTGTTTGGTTGGCATCGTTTGGATTCCCCTTTCATGCGGCATTAAATGTGAAAGTAAAATGCGAATGCATTGAGCTGTTGTACTTTGGCTGTTATTTTTGTTTTTGCCTTATTTCTTTTCCCATCTTTTGGCCAAAAAGGGGTGGTGAGAAGAGGGAGGAAGCCGGAGAAAGCGCTGCAAATCGAAAGCGAAAACTATGCGAACACACACGCTCACATGTCGTGGAATATATGAGGGTATTGGCAGTATGGCAGCATGGATGTACGCCGAACAACACTAGGGGTTAAGGATATAGGATTTTATACAAATAAATAATCAGATTATGTTTGAAGTACATTTTTGAAGTTTTTAATTTTGTGGACTGTGGCGTTTTTAAGACTTCTGTGATTATTATTATATTTTATTACTCATATTAGTTAAATGCCAAAAATATATTATATATATATTTTTAGAATTCATTAATCAAAAATGGATCACGAAAGGTCCTATCCATTTCTTTGAAGATTTTACTTTTATTTTATCTTAAATTGATCTATGTTAGTTACGATTTTGTTCCACGATCTACATTTATATGTATATATGTATCAACATCCCACTAAAAATTAAAAATAAATTGTTGTTTTATTTGCTTGACCTCGCCTGTACCAGAGTTACCCCTGCCTGGGCATGTGTGTGTGTCCGCTCACACGTACTCTCGTGTGTCCAGCGAAGTGAAGTTTATGGTGCCAATAAAATGTATTTCATGCTTCCTTAATTTTTATTTGCACTTTTACGCTTTTCATAACAAGAGAGAAGCGAACGGGAAGCAAACAGGGAACGCAGGAGAACAAGAAGAAACAGCAGTGGGGTCAAAGTGCACTACCCCCCTCCACCCCCCTCCTTACTTACACGGCACTGTCTTAAACTATTTAACGCCATTCCATTCGCCTTGGCAACCTTAGTTTATTCTCACTTTATTCCACATCACTTTGCTTTCCTCGTTCCTCTCCTGGCCAGTTGTCGTATAAAACACTTTGCCGTTACTTCTGCTTTACGAGCCACTTGCATAATCAGCAGATTTTTCCGAAACACACACTATCCTATGGGTTTCTGCGACCCCCCGGCCGGCAATTGGCGATAATCTACGGAAGTGGAATATAAAATCTTCCGACGCGTCGACGTGCTAATGTTTTGGTTTCTTATGTTTCGGTCCTCGTGTCCTAAAAGTGGGCATTATAATTTGGTTTGATTAGTTAAAGCTATGGAGGAAACACATCCGATCTTGTTATCCAAAGCGCCGTTTATTTTCTTCTCAGCTAATTACTTGTATCATTATAAAGTCATCGAGTATAGATTTAGGTCATGCACTCACTGTAATTAAAGGTAGTGTATAAGTCGCAATGATGAAAGTAGGTCTACCTTATCCTATAGCTGCCATAAACCAAATTATTTAGAATTTTTGAATACATGTCTTATAATATGACTTTCTTCCAAATTTACTTTATGTTTTACTTTTCCTATATTATTACCGATTTTTTCATTTATTCATCTACACTTTCCTTTGATCCTGCAGATAGGCTTCCTGGACGTGGTAATACCGCCGGATTTCATCAGCGAGGACACCTCATCTGATGTGATTGTGCCGGAGGGAAGTTCGGTGCGATTGACATGTCGGTGAGTAGGTACCGCCCAAGTGGCATTAAGTCGTTAAAAATAATGCCGAATGAGAACAAAAAATTATATTTAACTAGCTGACCCGGCAAACGTTGTTTTGCCACCAAATGACTTTATAATTTCAGCAAGTCAATTTCTTAGTGCTATAGCGGGAAAAATATTTTTTGTGACGATAGCGTGATTATCGCTTTGTAATTGGTGCATATGTGATTTGAATTTATTCAACAATTCATTGTGCTCGTTCAATAGACCATCTAGCTCGCTGACGATACGTCTGTCATAAAATAAATCGAGGTTATTATAATCACAACGTGCATTCACGCGATTGGCAAGTGCGCTTCCGGCAGCAGTGAGCCCATTTTATGATAAACTTGGCCTTTGATTTTGAATGTAGAATTGTAATGTTGATCATTTGCATTAGTATTTCGAACTATTTCTGTTGCTCCGAACGATGTCATTTGAAAGCATGAATTGAATGTTCGAATTGACTTCAGGATCACGTTAGAATCTGGATCCGTGCCGATAAGTAAGCCGTGCGGACATTCCTTGTCCATAGCACCAATTACCACCTTTGAGTGAGCATAATACTTAATATCAGGCTCATACTGGAATGCTAGACGCAGGAATGAATCAGATATAAATTCTCGATGTACCTGTTGTCTTGTTGGTCATTTGTTCTGCGTCTATTGACTGTGAAACGGCGTGATTGTCGTTGTTCTAATCTCAGCTGGTGTATCATCTGGCTCATCTTGATGCAATTGCGCTATTCTAACACGTACATACATCAGTATTTTGTTGCTGGATTTGTTCTTCGGTTCTTTCGGATCTTCTATTGCGCATGTTTCGAGATCTAATTGTATCACGGCTCAAATCACCCCCTTTGCGTTGTCTTGGCATGGCTCACTGTACAAAACACTCATAAAATTAATATATTTTCTTGATAATAAAGGATTTTTTCCCAGTTTAAATTGAGTTGAAGTGCTATGGTAGCGTGAGTTTGTCAGTGTGATGAGGTAGTAACTCACTTTATATGCGATTTTTGGTATGTCGAACAGGATTTAAGAGGGTGAAAAATAGATGTTGGCGGACTCTTAGACCTACTTAATACGCTCACAAAATTTAATGAGAATCGGTATAGCCGTTTCGGAGGAGTATGGTAACAAAAACTGTGTCACGATAATTTTATATACATATATAGGATTTTTATTTTAGAAAAACAACCTAAATTTAACGTTAAGTTGGCAAACATCCAAGCGAATTTTCTTGCAATTTTGCAGACATGGAAAGTAAACTTACAAGCTATAATTTAAACTAAAGCAAATCACATTAGGAAAGAGCCACTTTCAACTGGCCCTCTCTCTCTCTAGCCCATATGTCTTTTCTTTCTCCTTCCTCTTTCTGTCTCTCTCTGCTGTAATAATGTCAACAAATTAAGTGACACTTCATTTCTCTTGATTTAGCACCAAAACCCCACGGCTACCCTTGGTCTTCCCTATCCGCGTGGGTAGTTGAGGATTTTCAGTCATTGGATCTCAGATCAGAGTCCTCAAGAATCCTTTCAAGGGTATTACCAGGCGGCTTAGCAAGAGTCTCTAATTTGTGTTGGTTAGCTCCTAAATGCCGAAATGGCCAGAAGAATAGTGGTGAGGTTGGTGTACTCTGAGGGGGTTTGGGTTTCCTGATTTATGAACTTGACCGCAACCACGAAGTGTTGCTCCCGTTTTCTGTGTTATTTTTTTTTTTACGATTTAACCGCAAAATGATGAAACGATGGCGATAAGCGCGTTTTTCCTGGCTTTTCCTTGTTTTCCATCTGCGAATGAGTAACTAGTGTGTGTGTGTGGAAAGCTATTAGGGAGTTGTCTGAAAATTTCGTTCTTTTTCCCCGTCTGGTCATTTTTAATGCCACTTTGTGCAAAACCCTTGAAATGAGTTCAGCTTTTGGCTCAACGCACATTAAAGGCTAATAAACTTGAACAAATTAAAGAGAAAAATAAACAAACTATATATACAAAAAATAAAGGCTATAACAAGCCTATTTATAGAATAATTATACAACAATACGTTATAAATGCCCACACGGATTAGGATTTTTTTTAATGTTTGACCTTTCTTTTCACAAAATTGAGTCTTTTCATAAAAAATGAGAAATCAAACATCATACTTTATTTTGGTTATTGATACTGAAATGTCGGATGTTCCGTAACTTTTGTGTTTTTGTATGTAATACTCCCGGAAATCGAATCCTGAAAACTCTGAAAATTTCCATCTTTCTGAAAAATTTTTTAGTAAAGAAAAATAAAATTTAAACAAAAATAAAATTTTTAAATGAAAAATGTATTTAAAATTCTAAAAAAAACATCACAATTTGAAAATGCTTCCGAGGACTTGCAGAAAAGATATTCAGACTTGCAAAAAAAATATGAGAAATTGCAATCAAAGAATTTGGTAGATGACAATCTAAAAGCTCAAATAGATCAACAAAGTGTGAAAATCGAGCTATTAAAAGTAAAATTATTAAAAATATATCAATACATTTTAATGCATATCTATAATTTATATATTCTATTATAGTTTTATAGTTTCGTGTTCCACAGTCCATTCAAATGTTCATCGTTTTCCTCCGATAACCATTGTAATGCCATCAGACTCGTACAAATTCTATAACAAAAGTCTATAACAAATTCTAATAACGAACATTATTATATCAAATTTTTTCTGTTGAAGATAAAACGAAATGGGAATACTCACCGAGATCCTTAGGAAGACTTTCCTATAGGTGAACAGCGATCTGAAAAATCTAGGAAATCAGATGTTGTATCCTTCCAAATTGTTGCTTTTGGCAAACTTACCTTTAGACTTATTCCCAACTTAAAATGATTGTGAAAGTAAGTCAGTTTGTTAACATTCCTTCAATTTGTAGTCCAGTTTCTACAATTTTTTCATCCACTTTGCAAAATTAACATCTGGTTTAATAATTTTATATTTTTATAGAGCGATTTGCACATTTTTTCATCTCCTTGAGCTTTGAAACTGGCATCTTCTAGATTCTTTGATTGCATTTTCTCATATTTATTTTGCAAGCCCGAATACCTTTTCTGCAAGTTCTCGTTATCTTTCTGGAACTGTGAAGTTTTATTTGAATTTCACTATGGGCTTCACTATTTCATTTCTTCTGATAGACGACTGTGGGAGTGAAATAAATAATTACTTTCAGAAATAAATACGCTTCAAATCGCTATTATGTTAATTCGTCTGATTCCAAAAAGGCAATCAAATAAATTGCAAAAATAAAGACTACCGGAAGGATAATTTTTTTGCGCCTATCAGACGCAAAAATAGTGTTGAAGACTCGCTGGAAGAATTTTAACTGATGCTTTGATGCATGGCTTCGGCTTTTTAAATCGTAGTCGAACTTTCGTTTGAGCTTTAGCGTGAGAGTTTCTTATCAAAATCAGACTTAATGCGAATGCTGTCACATATAGAATATCCCCAAGGTTGTTACATGTATACATATACCAACCTTTATATTGTATTTATTCATTAATTCAATATATACTCATTTCGAGCATAAAGTGTTTTCGAGCTAATTTTATTGACTTTTATTAAATTAATATTCTATTTGAAATCCATGGGTGAAGTACATAAAATTTAAATTCATTATTGCCCCTTATATGGCTTTGACTTGCATTCCCTCTTAGCTCGTAGTATTTAGCGCAGTTCTTTCAACTTACTGTATCTTATGACTGCCTGAAAAAACAGAATTATAAATGTAAAACAAAATCCTAATATAGAATCTTTACCGATGTGACGTTAAAGGTCAGAAAACCATAGATTAGCACCAAGTCTGAGCTGCCTTGTTAATATTTTAGCGTATGTATGTATATACTTACATAACTGATCTATACATATTCAAATATATGCATAGACCCTTATCTAAAGAACTTTTATTTCAATGTATATGTTTGAAAACTATCGCTTAGTAATTAAGTTTTGCCATCTTTATATTTTTGACTTAAGATAAAAACAATGTGTACACACTAGAAATAAGCAGCACCTATGGCAACATTGCCAATTTTCTTCAAGTACCAATAAGACAGCGAAACAAGCAAGAACAATGAAACATACAGTCCACTACAAAAAAGGCTCTACGCATTTAGGATCATTGTTTGGTCCTTCGAGCCGGATGTTTTTGTTGTTTTCTATGCATTGGTTCTCACGGTAATTGTTCTTCAATGGAGCAATTAAAAGCATTGGTGAAGGGACGCGCCAGACTCAAGGCCAATATCACACGGAGCTTGGCTTGGGCTGAGGACGCGCACCAATCAGACGCCACACCGGCGGAGGTGTCTTCGCGGCTGGAGCATCTCAACACAACATGGAAGGAGTTCATTCGATTTGGTGACGAAATAGCTGTTCTAGACGAGGTAGACGGCTATGTGGATCCGGAGCCAGACAACGCTTTCTACGAGGGAAAGTATCTACGGGCGCATTCATTACTTTCGGCGATGGCAGGTACAAGACCCAGCCCATCCACTGTGAGTAGCGAGAACGGCAGCAACGGGCTGCAAATCAACAACGACGCAATAATTAGTTTGCTACAACAACAACAACAATTGTTCGAGCAGTTGGCGGTAGATCGAGCCACTGCACAATTGCCAAGACCTACAAGAGGTGACGTCAGTGCGGCGAATCCAGGTACCGCACAATTCGTAGAGGCATCAGCACAAAGCGAATTGCCGAAAATTCAAATTAAACGGTTTTCTGGCAACTATTCTGAGTGGCCAGCTTTCAAGGACATTTACGCACAATTCACAACAAGGCGAATTTGACAAATGCGCACAAATTTCATCATCTGAAATCCCTTCTAATCGACGAAGCTGCTAACTTGGTGCGACATCTAAATATTACGGATGCAGCTTACAACACAGCGTGGGAGCGACTGAACGAAAGATATAATCGTCCACGGCACATCGTGAATTCATTTATGGAGCAGTTTATGAAGCTGCCAACAACAACAAAGTCTGATGCAGCAACCTTGCGGAAGGTGTCAGACGGCGCAAACGAAATCGTGCGTGGTTTGGATGCCATTGAGGAAACAGGACGAGACTGTTGGATCATCTACCTGGCGTTGGAAAAACTGGACGCAGATACTCGACGTAGGTGGATCGAGCGCAGTGTGGAGTCAGACTCACCCACACTAGAAGAATTCTTCAAATTCTTGGATGCGCGTTGCGAGGAGCTAGAGCTAAGCAAACGCGAAACAACTGGAGGGAAAACGACAGCTTCTATTGGTGACAAAACAAGGAAGGTCACACATTCGTTGGTTGCGCTTGATGGAAACAAGTGCAGCAAATGCTATTCCACAGAACATCGTCTGTATGGATGTCCACACTTTTTGGGTATGTCTGAAGGACAGAGAATCTCGTTTGCCAAGGAGAAATCGCTATGCTACAATTGCCTGAAGCCAGGTCATGGGGTCAGAAGATGCAAATCAACGTTCAACTGCAGACAATGTAAAGCTCAGCACCATACTCTATTGCATCTGCAAGGTACGCAACACGCAATTGGCACAATCGCTCAAACTAGTGAGGATCAGGATGATCCCAACACACACAACTCACCGGTGACTAGTAGTCACATAGCACAAACAGAAGGCTCCGCAGCAATTGTATGTGCACAAGGTACTGCAAGTTCAACTCAATCAACTGGATGGAACAGAAGCACCCTGCCCACGGCTATGGTCAACGTTCAAAACGCAAACGGGGATTTGGTAGCATGCCGACTCCTTTTGGACACAGGCTCAGAACTGTCATATGTATCTGAACGCTGTATACACGCCCTTGGTTTGGCTCGTACGCCATCCCGCATATTGGTCACTGGAATTTCATCGATTAAAGCAGACACAACAAGGGGATGCAGCACCCTACGCATCCAATCCCGTATATCAGAGGATCAACTGGTAGTCCAGGCTCACGTGCTTGGAAAGATCACCTCATCATTGGAAAGGCAGAGCATCGACGCGTCTGCACTACAAGTCTTCAACGATCTACAACTAGCAGATTTACAATTCAGTACAAGTGGCCCAGTCGATATTCTTTTGGGCAGCGAGCATGCTTGGAGTGCTATTACTGGGAGAAAGATATTTGACAACAAAGGCAAGCTAATCGCTATTTCATCAATCTTTGGATGGGTGATTACATCATTGTTTGCACCACGGGCGAGCAACACTATGGCCCTCACAACAACAGTCGACATTGACGCCACTCTCAGACGATTCTGGGAGCTGGAAAGCATTCATCGCAAGGCAGAAGTTCAACCTGAGGACAAAGAGGTCGAGGAGCACTTTCTCAACACCCACACTCGAGACGATAATGGCATATACATCGTGGAGCTTCCTTTTACATCATCAGATCCTGAATTTGCAGATACCCTTGAAGGAGCCTTACAGCGGTTCAAATCGGTTGAACGCCGTTTATCACAAAATCATCAGCTACGTAAGGATTACGTAAACTTCATGAGGGAATATCAAAGTCTAGGACACATGCGAGAAATCTCACCGAGCGAAATTCCCAACGAAAGGAGTTTCTATCTAACTCATCATCCTGTATTGGGTCGGAAACTCAGAGTAGTCTTCGACGGCTCATACCGGGACGCCAAAGGCAAGGCGTTAAACGACACACTCTCGATCGGACCCAGTATTCAGCGAGACCTGTTTGCTGTGTGCCTGCGGTTCCGTATGCACAAATACGGATTTTCAGCGGACATAGTCAAAATGTTCCGTCAAATCTGGGTGAGCGAAAAACATAGAAACTTTCAGAGAATCGTATGGCGAGAGGATCCGTCAGATCCCATCAAGCACTTCCAACTTTGTACGGTGACGTATGGAACATCATGCGCACCATTCCTAGCAGTTCGAGTACTGGAACAACTGGCTGCTGACCACCAGAAGGAGTTTCCAACTGCGGCAAAAATCTTGATGGAAGACTTCTATGTGGATGACGTTCTCACTGGATCCAATAGTGAGGATGAGCTGCAACGCAACCGGGACGAACTCGTCCAAATGATGTCCTGTGCTAAGCTAGAGCTCGGGAAATGGGTATTGAATACCAAATACATTGTATCGGAGGATAACACGGATTCCTCACACTCATCAGTAAAGGTTCTAGGGCTGCAGTGGCACCCTAAGAAGGACACATTGTCGTACAATGTGAATCTAGCAAAGAGTCCATGCTGCACCAAGAGGCAAGTGTTGTCGGATGTGTCACGCATATTCGACCCTCTCGGTCTATTAGCACCAACCGTAGTTCAATTCAAAATACTGTTTCAAAAACTGTGGCTGTTGAATTTGAATTGGGACGAAGAACTTCCGAAAAAGCTAATCGACAAGTGGCTCAAATGGCGAGCAGATTTAGAAAACCTACCACAACTCCAGATACCACGCTTGGTCGAGAGCGACACCGACAAGATCGAATTGCACGGATTTTCAGACGCATCCACGAAAGCATACTCAGCCGTAGTGTACAGCCGAATGGAACCGTTGGAACCATTTCGGTAGCCATACTTGCAGCAAAGACAAGCACCAAAGGTGGCACCTTTAAAACAACAATCTCTGCCACGCCTGGAACTGTGCGGTGCACTTCTTCTAAGCCAACTTTTGCAATCCATCAAGGCTGGATTAAAACACAAGGATTTGACTATCTATGGGTGGAGCGACTCCACAATAGTCCTATCATGGCTAGTGTACTCACCAGCCCAACTAAAGACGTTTGTTGGGAACCGCACCGCCGAGATCTTGGAAACCATACCTAAGCATGCATGGCGGCAAAATCGAACCCAGCGGGTTGTGCATCCCGAGGCTTGGGAGTATCCGAGCTCATTGACTTCCAATTGTGGTGGAAGGGTCCGTCATGGCTGAAGGACCAGGAT